CCCCTCCTCCCTTCCCCCTCCCCCCTTCCCCTCCATCTTGCACCTGCCCGGTCGAACATCTGATCCAGCATTGCCAGCAACGCCTGCACATCACCCCTCATCCCAACTCAAAACACGCCCACCTGCTGCCTCCCCCCCTCACCTGGCCAGTCGAACATCTGATCCAGCATCATCAGGCAACCCCCCCTGCACCTCACTCACCCCTCAACTCATCTCAAAATACGCCCACCCGCTGCCTCCCCCCCTCACCTGCCCAGTCGAACATCTGATCCAGCATCATCAGGCAACCCCCCCTGCACCTCACTCACCCCTCATCTCATCTCAAAATACGCCCACCCGCTGCCTCCCCCCCTCACCTGCCCAGTCGAACATCTGATCCAGCATCATCAGGCAACCCCCCCTGCACCTCACTCACCCCTCATCTCATCTCAAAATACGCCCACCCGCTGCCTCCCCCCCTCACCGGCCCTGTCGAACATCTGATCCAGCATCATCAGGCAACCCCCCCTGCACCTCACTCACCCCTCATCTCATCTCAAAATACGCCCACCCGCTGCCTCCCCCCTTCACCTGCCCAGTCGAACATCTGACCCAGCATCATGAGCCCCCCTTCAACAAACGGCGTGTCACCGCTCCCCCCAACCCCCTCCTCCCCATACACGGTCCAGTACCCCACGGGCAAGCGCACTGTGTTCACCCCCTGCTGGGACAAATATGCTAAGTCCTCCTCCGTTACAAACCCACTCCTATGCTCCACCACTCTCGCCTCTGCTTCTGCATCCCCCTGGGTTAGTCTAAGACCCTGGGACAGCTGCCACTCGCCTCTGAGGCGGGATTGCGGGAGGAAGGAGAAGAGGCAGGAGGGGCAGGATGGTGAGGAGGACCAGAGAGGGGAGGCCGGGGAGGAGAGTTAGGAGATGGGGATGGGGGTGTCAGCGACGAGAGAGGCGTTGGAGAGCACACGGAGGAGATACAGTGTGCTGCTGCTGCTGCTGGTGGTTTTGTTGATGGCGATGGCAGCAGTTGTGTTGCTTCCAGGGGCGAAAACAACCAGAAAAGACGACCATCCACCGCTGCTGCTGCTGCTGCTGCTGCCACTGGTGCCGCTGCTGCCCACCCCAATCTCACTCCGTGACTGTTCCCCAGGGCCCGGAGGTCCTGGATATACCGCTTTGGCACCAACCACAGTGCCAGCAGCAGCAGAGGAGGAGGAGGATGATGAGGAGGGGAAGGAGAGGAAGCGGCCGTTGGAGACACGGATGTAAAGGGAGACGTTGGAGGGTGAGCGCGAGGGGGAGGAGAGGGAGAGAGGAGGGGAGGAGGCGGGGCCGGGTGCGAGGCACAGGAAGAAGGTGTCGGAGGAGGACGGAGAAGAGGCCGACGCTCTGATCTGCATGGAGGTGGTCGGGGAGGAGGGTATTGGAGAAAGATTGGAGCGGGAGGAGCAGGGACGAATAAGGAATGTTCACTTGTCTTCTCTTCTCTTCTCTTCCGCCCCCCTGGTGGCCTTTGACAGGCTCAAGTGGTCTTCCTATGAACCAAAATACCAGAGGGATCCTATGATCTCAAGGTAAGATCTTACCAGTGTGTGTGGCATGCTGTCTTCACTTTGACAGGCCCGATCGATCTTTCTCCGTTACAGATGCACTCAGGCACTCAAGCACTCAGGCACTCAAGCACTCAGGCACTCAAGCACTCAAGCACTCAGGCACTCAAGCACTCAAGCACTCACGCACTCAAGTACTCAAGCACTCAGGCACTCAAGCACTCAAGCACTCAGGCACTCAAGCACTCAGGCACTCAGGCACTCAGGCACTCAAGCACTCAAGCACTCAGGCACTCAAGCACTCAAGCACTCACGCACTCAAGCACTCAAGCACTCAAGCACTCAAGCACTCAAGCACTCAAGCACTCAAGCACTCAAGCACTCAAGCACTCAAGCACTCAAGCACACTCAAGCACTCAAGTACTCAAGCACTCAGGCACTCAAGCACTCAAGCACTCAAGCACTCAAGCACTCAGGCACTCAAGCACTCAGGCACTCAGGCACTCAAGAATTCAAGCACTCAAGCACTCAAGCACTCAGGCACTCAAGCACTCAAGCACTCAAGCACTCAAGCACTCAGGCACTCAAGCACTCAGGCACTCAGGCACTCGAGGTCACATAGGGCAACGACACTTCTTCTTCTTTCCCTGCATGCTGCTGCACCCTTCAAATCGCCGTAAAGGACAAAACGCACACTCTGTTGTTCTGTGCAATTCCTTTCCTTGCCGTGCTGAAGCGAGTCAACAAGCTCACCTCTCCAGTGGTGCTGTTCCACAGCGTCACGTTTTTCCCTGACTGCTTCGCCTGCAGCTGCACCAGCATCCCATCCACCACCTCCGGCACCCCCTCAAACAGCCCTGGGGCCATCCACTCCTCCCCCACCAGCCACCCGCCCAGGTTCACGCCTCTTGCTGCTGCCACCTCCATGCCCTCCCCCAGTCGGAAATAGGAGGGTTGAGAGGGGAGGGAACCCGCGGGGTGGAGCGCGAGGAGGGAGGAGGGCGGGGAGGAGACGGTGAGATAGGAGCCGGATGGAGATGCCAGGCGGATGAGGAGAGAGGAGGGGTCGCCCTGTTAGGTGAGAGGGTGGGGGGGGGGGGGGGGAAGGGTGGGTATGGGGGTGGTGGGGGGGGGGGGGAGAGGGAAGAGCAAGAGAGTCGAGGACGGGAAGGGAAGGCATGGCGAGGTTGCGTGTGCAGGAGAGGGGCAGGAGGAATGGACAGGGAGGATGAGGGAGGAACAACAAGCAACAGAGCAGTGGGGGGTGACGGGCTACTGAAGCTGTCAACCTAGAAACCGGGTAGGGTAGCAAGCAGGCAGCGACCACGGTTACTCAGTGAAGAGCGACTAACGGTCGTGGCAAGGCAATATGATATCATGGTGGGATGGGAAGGGTGGCAATCACCATGGTGGGAAAGGGGGGCACAACCGGGGCTGGCTCGGAAATAAAGGCAGCCGCTTCAGAAATGGCAGCAGCAGTGGCGGTGAAAGTGGCTCTCGGGGTGGGGGAAGACGCTGCAAGGAACTGACCAGAAGGCGCTCGGATGGCAAAGGTGGGAGTGGAGGAGGAGGAGGAGGAGGAGGAGGAGGAGGAGGAGGAGGAGGAGGAGGAGGAGGAGGAGGTGGGGGAGGTGAAGAGAATGGTGAGGGATTGGTTGAGAGGCAGGGAGGTTGAACGTGCTGCTACCCATCGTTTGGACCAGTCAAGCGCGGAGGAGGAAGAGGAGGGGCGGGAGGAGGTGGCAGTGGGCGGCCCTAGCCATCGCTTGGCTCCCTGGGAGAAGAGCATGACCTGAAGCATGGGAGCGCGGTGGGGTGGGGTGGGGTGGGGGAAAGAGAGAACAAGGACGGAGTGAGGGGAGGAGGGGTGGTGATCAGAAGGCAATGAAGGGGTGGGGCGTGGGAGGGATTGGCCAAGGGAAACTGATGAAAGGGGTTTCTCACCTTAGCTTATCTTCCCCAGGCGCACCTTGCTGTTGTTCCTCAGGCTAGTAGTCCACCACACAAATGGCATGGTGGCCGCACCAAGGGAGATAACAGGAGGCCGGGAAGAATCACACACCTAGCCCAGCAGAGCCCCGGGTTCAATACCCGACGCCATCATCACAGACACGTCCTGAGGAGAAGTACTCCCACCACTGCTGCTGCTGCTGCTGCTGCTGCTGTTGGTGTCACCGCTGCTACCGCTGCCGCCGCTGCTGTCCCCGGCTGTTTGATCACTCCCGTTTTAACCAGAATACCCACAACGAGCCCTGCAATAATGGCGAGGGAGAAGAGGCCAAGGAAAACAAAGAGCACGGTGCGACAGGTGGGGCCTTTCCGCCTGGGGCGCGCGGGAGGCAGGAACGGCTCGTGAATGTTCACCAGCACCTCCTTATCGCTGGCTCGCCCCGTCACTATGCCGCTGCTGGCACCGCTACCACCACTGGCACCAATACCTCTGTTGCTATTGCTGTTGCTGTTACGGTTGCTGCTGCTGGCGGCAATGCCTATCGCCGCCCCTGCCGTCGTTGCCACTGCCGCTGCTGTTGCTGCGCCAGCGGCAGCAGTTGCTGCCGCAGTGGCAGAAGGTTTTGTATCTGCCTTTGTACGGGAGGTGGTTGCAGGTTGATGGCGTGGGAACTGCCTCTGCTGCTGCTGCTGCTGCTGCTGCTGCTGCTGTTCCGCCTCCTGCATCTCCTCCTGCACCTGCAGATGCGGCTGCTGCATCTGCAGCTGCTGCCAGTTCAGTTACTGCTGTCTCTGCAGCAACTCCTGCGCCTGCCGTCCCTCCTACACCTGCTGCTGCACCCCCTCCTGATGCTGCTGCTGCTGCTGCTGCATCTGTCCCTTCTTTCAATGCTTCCTCTGTCCCTGCCACATGGACAGGGAAATGACTATCATCACCTGACACTGCCGCCCCTTCTGCAACATTTCCTGCTGCTACCGCTGCCGCCGCTGCTGCCTCTCCGCCCAAACCTCTCTCCCCGCCTTCGCCTCCCGCAGCGGAAGCTAGGGAGGCGGATGGCGGAGCTGGAGCGGGTGCGGCAGAAGAAGGGGCAGCGGTGGAAGCTCCAGCTGCGGAGACAGCGGCGGAAGCGGTGGCAGAATCTATAGGATCGCAAGCGCCTCCGGCTGACGTTTGAGAGACTTAGTTGACGTAGAAAGTTTCATCAGTTTCTAGGGGAGAATTTGCACTGAAAATGAGTTGTGTTTGAACAAGAAACAAACAAGCATTTATAAGCAGGCAGAAAGCTTGCGCGGTTCGTGTAACGCGGCTGGTGTACTGTGCAACCTCGGAATTCTGGCAATCACGGAAACGGATTTCGGTAACCGACACCAAGTCCGAAACCGACCCCGAGTTCGGTTCTTCGGAATTCAGCTGAACGCGCTCCGGATCTGTGTTGGAGAATTTTCCTGCAGCTTGTTTCTCTCGCTGGTCTTGGCTGGAGTTTCCTGCAAGGCAACAGAAAGCATTTCCGATCTACGTTTCCCCGCACGCACGCATCACCTAGAGCAACCTCAAGCACCTTAATTTCTTAGGTTTTCTTCTACCGATTTCTTCAATTTCTTCCTTGCTGATTTTCCTAGCTCCACCGCTGTTCCGCCACTTCCGCCGCTGCAGTTAGGATTCCCGTTTTTCTTCCCGTCGTCATTCTTTCCCTTGTCATCCGCCTTGCTATTTCAACATCACTTTCCTTGGAACGAGATGGGCGGTCCTCACACCGTCCTAGCATCGCCGCATCCTCGTTAGGCATAGGAATAGGACGGTAGGGCAGCGGCGAACCACCCTAACAACCTCCCCTGTGGTTCGCTAGCTGTCCCACTTGGATGCTCCCGTGGTCACCATGTGACCTAATTTCGTCATCATCTCTTGTCCGCGTTCTTCACTTGGGATTGTGGCCTTCATTACTGCTCCGCTACTCCCCTGCAAGTTCTTGAAGGTACGAATACCAACAAGGTCCTTGCAATGGTGATGATTAGTTTTTGGTAGCACCTTGGTGAGGAAATCCGCGGGCTGCTCCTCTGTCCGCACGTGCACGAACTCGAATGTCTTTTTCTGCAACATCTCTCGCACCCAATGATACTTGACGTCCATGTGTTTCGCCGGTCCGTGCCAGTTGTCGTTCCTCGCAAGGTCGATGGCTGATTGGCTGTCCGTTTTGATTGTTGTAGGACCGTTGATGGTGATCCCCATCTCTTGCAATAGACGCCTCAGCCACACACCCTCTTGGCATGCATAAAATAGCGCCATATATTCAGCTTCTGCGCTTGAAAGGGCGATGTCGGTCAGCTTCTTTGCTTGCCACATGATGGCCGTTCCTCCAAGAAGGTAGACGTAACCATAGCCTCCCCTCCTCGTCTCTTTATCCGATGCATGTGAGGCATCGGCATAACCAACAAGTTCTAGAGTTTCCTCTCCTCCCTCAAATAGAAGTCCTTCTTCCTCTCGTTGCAAGAGGTAAGCAATGGTCCGTTCCATCTCCTTCCATTTGCGTCCTTCGGGCTGCAACACATTTTGCCCAAGGAAACTTGCTGCATATGCCATATCCACGCGTGTGCAGGAGACGGCATACATGAGGGAGCCGACCATAGATTGGTAAGCCTTGAGTGCCCGTTCCTTGCTGCCCCATGTCTCAATCTCTGCCTTCACATCCACTTCTTTGTGTGCAAGGCTGCTGAGAGGTGTTGACACCACGTTTGATGTGTCGTGCCCTCCAAACCTCTCCCGCAACCTCTGGCAGTATTTCTTTTGGTATAGCAGCAACTTCTTCTCCTCCTTATTCCTCTCCAGATTCATCCCAAGGAAGAGAGATGCTCTTGGGATCTTCTTCACTTGGAACACTGCTGCAAGGTGAGCGCACACCTCCTCCACTCTCTCCTCCTTTGCTCCCGCCACTAGGATGTCATCGACGTAGAGCAGTAGGAAGACCTTGTCTTCCCCTTCTCCCTTCTAGTAGAACGCTCGGTCACATTGGCTCTTGACGAAGTCACCCTTCATCAGCTGTGCATCCATGGTTTGGTACCACTCCCTAGGGCTTTGTTTCAGCCCATAGAGAGCTTTGATTAGTTTGCATTTTCTGTCTGTGCCATCCTCAAAACCTGGCGGCTGCTCCATGTAGACATCTTCCTTCAAGACACCATAAAGGTAGGCATTCTTGATATCGAGTTGAACCATAAAGTACCCACGTGCCGCTACTACTTTCAGCATCGTCCTTGCTGTGGTCAACTTGCTCACAGGTGTGTAGGTATCTGTGTAGTCTTCTCCCTCCACTTGAGTATATCCCTTTGCAACAAGTCGGGCCTTGAAGCGTTCAAGCTGCCCCATATCTCCAGTTTTGATCTTGAAAATCCAGCGAACTCCCACTGAGTTTCTTCCAGCCGGCATGTGCACCATCTCCCACGTTCCTCTTTCCGCAAGTGTGTTCAGCTCTTCTTGTATTGCTGCCCACCACTGCTTCCGATAGGGACCGGTCAACGCTTCTTCAACTGTGACTGGCTCGGAGGGCAGGTTGTATGCCTTCCTCCTCTCCTTGGAGACAAGTGCGGTTGCCGACATGGTGAGTAGAAGGTGAGTATGAACATCCTTCCATGGTGTCATGAGGATTTGGGCATACCGGGGAGTGGGTTTCTTTACCCGTTTCCCTCTGCCCAATTCTTCCTTCCTCTTTTCAGCTCCACCCATTTGGGCTACAGCTCCATTGTTTAGCCCTTGCTCCACTGAGTCTTCATCAAGTTCCCGTCCGATGAGAATAGCGCCTTCCTCAAGTAGGCCTTCAATTTCTGCTGCTGCCTTGTCATTGCTTTTTGAATTGATCAGCTTCCACGGGTTGGTGTGGTCCGAGCTTGTAGCGTCGTCCACTTCTTCCTCTCCATCATGCCCATGCTGATTTTCTGCTTCATCTTGGTCAGCACTCTCTCCATGGATCCCACCAGTTCTTTCCTTTTCCTGGTTGCGCTCCCTTTCATCCTTTGGTTCCTTGGGTGGTGCTGGCTGCTCCGGGACCTCCCACACCCAATCCACCCCTGCAGTTGGGTAGTCGTCGTAGTCTTCATCTTCAGTGTAATCATTTGCTGCCCCAATTCCTTCCTTGCCATTCACATCCATCATCTCCTCAACCGGAGATGGTGCTGCTGCCGTCGGTTCCTTTGTTGCTCTTTTGTTCTCAGCTGCAGCCCCCGTCTTCCTTCCCTTCCATTCCAAATAGGTGTCAAGCTCGTAGAAGGTGACATCTCTGGTTGCCGTCACCTTGCCTGTCTCCACATCCCTTATAATCCAACCTTTGCTCTCTGGGCAGATTCCCAAGCACATTCCCCACTTGGTTCGAGGTAGGAGCTTGTGGTCGGGTCCCGCCGGCTCCCGGTACTGCACCATGCAGCCCCATACACGTAAGAACTCCAGGTTTGGCTTGCGCTTGTAGAACGCCTCGTGGGGTGTGATGTCGGCTACAAGTCCCTTAGTCGGTAGTCGATTTTTCAGCCAACATGCCATGCCGAGTGCGTCACCCCAATAGTGTAGAGGCAGTCCGCTATCCGCCAGCATGATTCTTACACTTTCCAGTAGAGATCGGTTCACCCGCTCTGCTATGCTGTTGTGTTGAGGAGTGTGCGGCACCGTTAGTTGCCGCCGAATGCCCTTTGACTTCAAGTAGCTCTTGAACTCTTGATTGATGAACTCGCCACCATTGTCCGTCCTTAGTACTTTTAGTTTCCTTCCGCTTTGCCTTTCCGCTTCAGCCTTCCAGTCGAGGAAGCTTGCGAACACTTCAGATTTGTTCTTGATCTCCGTCACCCATGTATGTCGTGTGCCAAGGTCGGTGAAGGTAACAAAGTACTTGCTGCCATGTCGGGAAGCCACCCTCATAGGCCCACAAACGTCGGCAGCCACGATGTCAAGTATGTTGTATGGCTCCCGAACCTCATGCTTGGGGTGAGAAGTCTTGGTAGCCTTTCCTTCCACGCAGGAGGTGCAACTCAGCTCTTTTTCTGTATCCTCTGTCACCTTCACTCCCACTGCCATGTTTTTCTTAATCAACTCATTGATGCGCGTATGTCCAGCGTGCCCCAGCCTTCGGTGCAGCAGGTTGACGTCCACTGGTGTCACCGTTGCTGCCTTGGGAGGAGCTTGCTGCTTGAGTTCTTTGATGGGCGTCTTCTCTAGCATGGTACGAAGCTCGTCCCTTGCTGTCTTCCCTTCCTCCGGTTCAGCAAGGTATGTAGATCTTGCACCATCTTTCTGCTTTTCATGTAGCTTCATCTCGTACAGCCCTTGCTTGCGTGCGCCTTCCGCTAGCACCTTCCAGTCAGGGCCGAACACCCATAGGCGCCCCTTGTCACTGTAGGTCTTGCATCCGCTGTTGTCCAGCTGTGATTGACTGAGTAGATTCAGAGTCAATCGGTCCACCAGCAACACGCTGTCCAACTTTAACTCTCCATATGCCCCTTGTAACACCATATCTCCTTCCCCTTTCACTGGAAGCTGCCCTTCATCTCCCAGCAGCACATATGGGACCGTAGAAGCTCTGAAATCTTGCAACCAACCTTCTTGATTGGTCATGTGTTGGGTACATCCACTGTCCATGTACCACTCCTGTCCCTTCAGCCCTGTTGCTAGCAGGCACGCTCCAGAAGCACGTGCAACATTGGCCTTGTGTGCACCTCCAAGAATCACGTCTTCATTGCCGTTGTTCGCCTCTGCAACGTTGGCTTTCGCAGGTGAATGAGGTTTGTACTGCTGCTGTCCACCCCTGTAGTTTTTGCTTGTAGGGTTGGAGTAGCAGTATATTGCCTTGTGGCCATACTTGTGGCAATAGTTGCACGTTCCAGCAAACCCGCTTCGCAGCCGTTGTCCATCTCCACTTGCTCCTTCGCTGGTTCCTTGTCCGGTTGCTCCCATCCCTTTGAAATTCTTGCTCCTTGGGTTGGAGTAGCAATCGGCAGCTTTGTGGCCCTTCTTTCCACACTGGAAACATGGCCCAAATGTCCTTGTTGTCCCGGTTGCATTCAGAAGTGCATGTTTGTCACTGCTGGAATTTTCAGCCATGACATCCTTGCGCTCATCGTCCGCTCGGATCAGCTCCAACTGCTGCAAGTCATCCAAGAGGTCAGTCAAGTCCGTGGGATGACGGCACGTCAGGGTGCCCTTTTCAGATGCCCAGTCCCTTGGCAGGCCACTGATGATGTAGCTCATCATTTGCCTCTCTGTTTCTGGCACGCCCATGGCTGTCAAATCGTCGTTGTAGCCTCGTGCTCGAGTCACATAGTCCACCATGGTCTCTGATGGCTCCTTGCGTAGCAATAGAAGCTTCTTCCTTGTAGCAGCCATCTTTGCCTCACTCTTCCCCATGTATATTTTTTCCATGAAGAGCCATGCGTTCTCTGCTGCATTTTCTTCTCCAGCAAACTTGTCCAACCCTCCAGCAATGCCATCGGAGACTGAGTGACAGAGTTGGAAGAAAGCTTGCAAACACCGTTTCTTGTATGCCTTCTTCTCTTGTGCTGTTTCAGGTGGAGGACCATCTTCCTCCGTCGCTGCCGAAGGGTGGAAGAGATGCCACAGCCCCACCTCCCTTGCGCGCCTCATGAACTTCAGCCTCCAAGTGCCGTAGTTCGCTCCATTGAAGCGTTGCGCTTCACTCAGACCAATCGTCGGTTTGGCCACCACATGCCCTTGAGCAAGAGCATCCAGGAGACTCTGCATTTGAGAGCTGCCAGGGTTCACGGATGACCCTGAACTAGCCTCAGCATCTCCATTCCCCATGGCTCCAACTCTCCCTTTGCCTCTGCAAGGCACTTAGGACCTCCACAGCTCCAACGCCCTTATAGTGAGGCGTAATGTGACTATAACGAGGCTCTGATACCAGCTATAGGATCGCAAGCGCCTCCGGCTGACGTTTGAGAGACTTAGTTGACGTAGAAAGTTTCATCAGTTTCTAGGGGAGAATTTGCACTGAAAATGAGTTGTGTTTGAACAAGAAACAAACAAGCATTTATAAGCAGGCAGAAAGCTTGCGCGGTTCGTGTAACGCGGCTGGTGTACTGTGCAACCTCGGAATTCTGGCAATCACGGAAACGGATTTCGGTAACCGACACCAAGTCCGAAACCGACCCCGAGTTCGGTTCTTCGGAATTCAGCTGAACGCCGCTCCGGATCTGTGTTGGAGAATTTTCCTGCAGCTTGTTTCTCCCGCTGGTCTTGGCTGGAGTTTCCTGCAAGGCAACAGAAAGCATTTCCGATCTACGTTTCCCCGCACGCACGCATCACCTAGAGCAACCTCAAGCACCTTAATTTCTTAGGTTTTCTTCTACCGATTTCTTCAATTTCTTCCTTGCTGATTTTCCTAGCTCCACCGCTGTTCCGCCACTTCCGCCGCTGCAGTTAGGATTCCCGTTTTTCTTCCCGTCGTCATTCTTTCCCTTGTCATCCGCCTTGCTATTTCAACATCACTTTCCTTGGAACGAGATGGGCGGTCCTCACACCGTCCTAGCATCGCCGCATCCTCGTTAGGCATAGGAATAGGACGGTAGGGCAGCGGCGAACCACCCTAACAGAATCTGCACGTGCGGCGGATGGCTTGCGGTCGAGGGAAGTCTTCTTAGGAGTCGGCTGCTTCGTTAGTGCCACACCGCCTCCCCCCGGCTTCGCGGACCCGCCTGCGCTTTTCGCGGGCAGGGCGGGAGCGGCCGAAGGGCGAGCTCTGCTGGTTTCGGCGGAGGGGACACGGTGAAGCGCCTTGAGAAGGCTGTCGGGGATCTTGGGGGGATCCGCGGAGGCACGATTTGCGCGACCGGACATGGCGGTGGAAACGGAGACGATACGGGGAGATGGGATACGATACAGATCTCAAAATGTCTCAGTACGATACGATACGACGAGTGTTCCCTATAATGCCGAGATTTCAGGCCACGCTGCTGGCAATGGTCGTCAGGGAGTCTCGACTCTCCATCACAAAAAACCTGGTTTTTTTTGTTTCGGGTCGACAGGCTTGCCGAATTGGTTTTTTGGTTGCGTCATGGTTGGGGTTTCGTCCGAAACGTTTCTGGCCAAACCGCGCCTCGGTTCTGGCCAAACCGCGTCGGAAATTTGTGGTTGGGCATTTCAGGGCGAAAACTGTCCAATTATTTCCGCGGGCGAAATGGCGAGGGCGAAGTTACATCGAGACAGCCGTCGAACATTCGCCACAATCATTTCCCGCCCGAACCCTGGCTGAAATTTTCAAGGGCTCGATTCTCGCACCTTCCGAGCATCATTTGCATTTTAAAGGATGTCGGCTACACCAGAACTTGATGAGTTTGGTATACGAATTATTGTAGTATGCGTTCTTGAAAAAATATATCATGTGACACCTAAGGCAAGGTGGAAAAAATACATAAAGGAACATTCTTCTCTCGTTTATTGAACCATCAAAAAATATTAAATGGTCAATTTCTATCATTGGGTGATTTGAATCAATGTTAGCTACAACAGGAAACGGATCTATACGAATTAGCGTATGTGTGATGCACATGATAATTGATATGAGGATGGCCTACATTAATACAGGGAGACAAGTGGTGTGATGCTGTGACGATTGCATACATACCGTAATCCCCCCGATATAGGCGCATCCCTTTATTTGGCCCATTGCGCTTATGGAGTGTAAGTGCGCTTATATCCGTTATTTCATTATAAGCGCACCCATATTTTTGAAAATGTATTTCCTATAGGCGCATATTATTTTTGTCAAAAATAATGTTAAATGAGGGATTTCTATATCGCACTTTCTGCCGTGGCCCTCCCGAGCGCCTCCCGAACTAGAAGCGTGAATTTCGCACACAGCGTAGGCTCTGATTGGTTCGCAATATCAGACATTCCCAAGTGAATCTGGTGGCGAAAGCTTTGTTAGTCAAATTCTCGCGTTTTGTCAACATGCTACCCTTTGGAAACACACGCGCTAGAACGCAAATTTCAAGAACTACATTTTTACTTGCTCAAATAATTTTCCATGAAAATCCTTTCATAAGCCCTGGGCTTATAAATATGAATAATTTTTTAGGAAATTTTTTTTTTACAGATTGTGATTCGATTTGAAGAGGAGTTTTGCTGTAAAGGAGACAAGCTCCTTCACATTCTCGCATGTCCGATGGACCTGCCACCTAGTCTCATTCTCATTTCTCTTCTCTGATTGCTTACTACCATCAGCACACTCTAAACCCCTCCTATGCCCAGACCTGGGCATAGGAGCATGCTACTTGAGGACGTGATTGCTGCACGCTTTTCTACCATGACTGGAGGAATTGTTTCTGCTGCAACTGGTCGTCCTCCTGTTTCAAGACTGAATTTAAGGAGCAATGGACGACGTGGATCCCCTGTGCGTGAGGGAAGTCAAGATTCTTCTACTCACCGTGATCGTTCCCGCTCTCCATGCAACAGAAACGCATCTGTTACTGCCTTGGATCTGCTGAATGGCGCTCGGCGAAACCCCGTTCAGCAACCCGGATTGGCTCCCGTTGGAGATTGTAACGCTTCTGACGGTCGCGATTTTCCCCCCGGGTTTCGCGGCGAGCGGCGTGAAGAACGTGAACGTGTCGACTTGAACCCGCCAGGAGAAAACGCACCTATGACGACTGCACTGCACACTCCTCTGAAAGTCGTGTCACAATTTTATTCGATTACAAGCGCAAGCCACTTTTGTTAGGTATTTCCTATAAGCCCCTATGCGCCTATATCCGGGGGATTATGGTATGAGATTGGTGGGGATCTCAAGCAGGTACATGCGCGTCCCTTCCCTTTCCATTTGCTCCTCCTTTCGGTCTCAAGTTCGATGTCGATGGGTTCTGGTGTAAAAAAAGAGCATGCCATTTCTAACCGTGCTATGAAATTCGCAGAAAGGCAAAAATGACACTGTTTTATCGGCCACTATCCATGCACGAAATCAACCCCGTCAAAATATCTAGGAAGCCTTACTTCCCAATACGCTGCTCCATTTGGGCCCAATCTTGGGTAGCACAAAGGTTTTGATGTAATAAACTCGCTGACAACTAGAAACCGTGTTAGGAAATTCAAAATAGTGCCTTTTATCGTCCCCTATCCTTGCACGACTTTTCCCTAATACATTATTTAAACAGCCATATCTCCATCCTCCTTTCTCCTTTGAGTCCCAAATTTGGATGGCAGTGAGGTCCTGCTACGATGAAGGCGTCACCCACATCAAACCGAAGTAGTAAATTCGCAATAATGGCTAAATGGTGCTAAAGGTTTTCCACCCCTATCCTTGCATGAAGTGCCCCAATTACACCGTTCAATCAGCCATATCTCCCTCCTCCCTTCTCCATTGGGTCCCAAATTTGAAGGCGCCAACCACTTCGAACTGCTTTAGAAAATTCGTAATAGTGTCTTAATGGCGTTAAATTCTATCCACCCCTATCCTTGCATAAAATGCCCATATGACATCATTCAAGCAGTCATTGCTCCCTCCTTCCTTATCCATTCCACCCCAACTTTGGACGGCAACGAGGTCTTGATATGATAAAGGCGCCAACCCCCTCAAGCCGCTTAGAAAATCTGCAATAGTGTCTTAATGGCGCAAATTTTTATCCACTGCTATCCTTGCATGAAATGCCCACATGACATCATTCAAACGGCCATTTCTCCCTTCTCCATTCGACCCCAAATTTGGATGGCAGCGAGGTCTTGATATGATAAACGTGCCAACTCCTTTTAGCCGCTTAAGAAATTTCATAATAGTGCCTTAATGATGCTAAATTTTATCCACCCGTATCCTTGCAGCAAATGCCTATATGACATAATTCAAACAGCCATATCTCCCTCCTCCCTTCTCCATTGGGCCCCAAATTTGCAAGGCAGCGAGGTCTCACTATGGAAAATGCATCACATACTTCAATCTGCTGTAGGAAATTCGCAATATTGTCTTAATGGCGCTATATTTTATAATCCCCTATCCTTGCACGAATCGCCCCTATTATATTATTCAAACAGCCATGACTCTCTCCTCCCTTCTCCGTCGGGCCCCAAATTTGGATGGCATAGAGGTATCGGTATAAAAAGGGGGTTTTACTTCAAATGGTGGTTTTAAAATTATAATAGGGCCTAAATGGTGCTATCTTTTACCCACCCATATCATTGCTCAATATGCATGCAGTACATTATTCACAGAACCATATCTTCCTATTCCATTCTCCTTTAAACCTCGAAATCAGATGGCAGCGAGGTCTTGCTATAAAGAAGGCGCCACATACTTCAATTTGAGTTAGAAAGTTTGCAATATTGGCTAAATGAAGCCAATGTTTATCCATCAGTATCCATATTGCTGCTTAAATGACGCTATCTTTTATTGATCCCTATCTTTGCACAAAATGGTTCGATTTCATTATTCAAACAGCCATACCTGAAGCGATCCAATATAGTCCATATGATCTTTAGGATTGAACATCAGTAGTGTGCTTTGCAAAAGCGATTGATTGGTCGATGAACCCTAGCAGAGTGAGTGTAAGTTACTATCTGCTGGTTTGTTTGCTATTTGAGGTGTCTTTGCGCTGGTTCCAATCCGTTGTGCATGTGATACACAAATTTCTGTGCACGTGCTGCGTTGTCACGCTTTGCATGGGTCAGCTAAATTTCGAGTTCCAAAATTGCGATTTGAACATGTGCCACTATCGAAACGTGCCTATTGAAATCCGCAAAACAACCGTTGCCATCTGACATAGCAGTAGGATCGCAAAATTTCCCAAGTCAAAAACACAATATAACGACAAGTTGGGATAAACTGCCGCGCGACACGGGAAATCTTCACCAAAGTAATGAAAGCTAAACGGCCGTAGCTTGTAGGAATGTACCATAACATTGGTTATATAAAATAGGAGGTATAGTGCCGAAATAATATTCATGTATTTAAAAAAAAACGTATATTTCCATGGCATAATACTTGTTAAAAATTTGTACATGTACGTGTGCATAGATATCAAGTTACTTCGCTCATTTTCAGCATGTTCGCACAAATCTAGGAATGTAGAATGATGATGCTGTCTTGGTGGTATTAGGGTATGGTGGTAAGCAAACCATCCAATCCTTTTGAGTTGTAACATGGTGTTTGCAATACTTGACAAGATTGCAGGTCTTTGTATTCACCAATCTGCATCGAGCATAACATTTGCCTCTGCGTTTGTTGTCCACTCATATGTGCTAGTATTGGGTAAGAAGCACCATAAGGTGTTCAATACTAACCAGCAAATGACATACTCGCCTTGTTGGCACTCACAAGATTTTGTTTGAGTTTGCCTGAGGTCGCTGGCATCTTTGCAGCCAGTGAGGTTCATTTGCGGAGACAAGCCCGATTTTGCTGCCTGCACGACCTAGCCAATTGTATGCTTCGATTGAGCAGCAAACCAAGGACGAGGTGAGTTGGCGCATAATCTGATTTGCGCAGCCAATCGGAATGCTGTTTGGTGCGATTTTTGCTCTCCCAGCTAATCGGTGTACAGTTCCTTGCTGGCAAGCCTTTGGCGCGTTAGCATTGCTAGTCAG